AATTTCTAGATATTTTATTATCATAGAACTCATTATTCAATCATTAACTTAAGAAATAAGATTCATCAGGAAATTAAAATAAGAAAACGATGAAATTTTCATGGGTATTTATAGTTCTAATCATCCCGTGTGTAATGCTAGACATAAGACTTACCAAATTTACAAACCTTGAAAAGAAAATAATACGAATAATCTTTATAAAACAAGGTACATAATTTCTACTAACTTGATAACAATGACAGTTGTAAAGAACTCATCTAAACTTAATATAAAATTTCTTACAACTACATCAAAAAACAACAGACGATTTAATTAACACAAAATAATATTAAATTTTATGCAAGAATTTACAGAATAGACTATAAAAAAAAGGAACAAGAAATACACAGGTGAAACATCTAGAAATTTAAATAAAAGATTATATGAACACATGAGGGAACTTTTGCAAAACAACACACTCAATATATTAGCCATTCATTGTAATGTTTCACCATAATTTTGATTTCAAGAATATAGTTTTAATTAAAAAGGAAACTAATTCATTAAAACAAATATTTATAGAAAGCTGTTGTGGTAAGAGCCAGTTACCCTGTTTAGTATTATAAGTAGTAGTCCTGGGTAACTGTCTAGCTGAGAATTGAATACTAGTATCATGAGTGACTGTTGAATTAAGGGTTGTGTCTTGCCAGATCCCACATCATCTTAAAAGTGCATAAATTTCTGAGTCTTCCATAACAAATTTATGCCCAGGTTCATACAATATATCTTCTTTCCTTGCAAAACTACTGATTTTATCAGAGTGAAGTGTCTGGTGTTTTTATGGCCAGCAGTAAAATCTAAAAAAGTAAGATTTATGAAGCTACTGGAAAGGAAATAAAATACACATAAATTAAAAAAAATATATTTTTTTAATCATTTCACCCCAAGCAAGACAATAAAGCCACTAAGATGCAAGAGTTACTGGGTGTGAGGGAATATGAGAAAAAAAACATTAAGGAGAGAGAACAATAAAAGGGTAAAAATTAAGACGATATTAATTATGAATGAATTCAACTTTTGCGAGAACAAATGCCACTTGGCAAGCAGTTAGAAAGTTCTGCTTGCAAGTTTCTATAAACACTCCTGATGACCAGCGTGTACCCTCACCAATTGGTGGTGTCAGAATTACTCTTACATCTATGAGTGTTCTGTATCATGATGCAGAGATTAGAAAAGGAATAGTAGGAGAATCAAAGTCAAAGATATCTCCATGTCACCTACCTACCTGAACTCCAGGTCATGCAAGTGAATTGCTAAATAAACAACCAAGTACATAGGAAACAGGATTTGTGTTTTTCAATCTTTACCATAATGTTAATTTCACTTTTCATTTTCTAGTCAACATAGAATGGGCCTTTCTCAGTTTTACGAGCACACCAATGTAAATGAACATCAAGGTACACAACATAGAATAAAGTTATGAATGAAAGACTGAAAATGAGGTTTGCAGGTTATGTAAAAATATAACCAACATTTGTTATATTTCTTTACTCAAATATATTAGCATTTTGGGACACACACACACACACACACACACACATTATCAGCTAAAAAGTTTGTGGCCACCCTCTGGATTTAATAGTTAGTTTCATAACTTCTTTGGTTTAATTAACTCCTACTAAGCTAGGAAAGTGAAACTATTTAACAGCTCATTACAATTTCAGTGCATGACTGCTATTTTTTGCCATGTCTTATCATCTGCAAACCCCAAATCTTGCACCCTTCCCTCTGCCACAACTTCACACAAATCTTTTTTCAATTGCACTATCTATTAGACATCAGTCAATCATTTCCCCTCCCCCTCTGTTATCTGATCTTGTTATGCGTTTTATCCACTTTAATTTTTGTTGAGTAATATCTTGTTTTGATCAGTTCTTGTCTCTATGTCAGCATTGTCTACCTAAGTATTAGCATTTTACCATTAATCTTTGTACATTTTTCATGTTGTTTTCAAATACAGTTAAGTTTCCAGGTTTTCCATCTGTATGTTATGACGGACATATTTTTCTTTGGTAGTTTTGCTCGTTTTTTTAACCAATATAAATAAAATTATGTGAACCCTTGACTGATTCAAACTTCTGACCTGAAGCAACATAATACACCAACCCATTGGATTGCAGTTGAAATGATTGGCTAAAATTAGTCTTAACTAATAACTTGGACTTTCTTAGTTTGTCTTTTTAACAACCATTTCTACTATTCATTTACATTTAATTCCATTTTCAGTAGTGTCACATTAAACTAATTTAGAATGACAAAACTAAATTTGCCATTTTGATTTTCTTTATAACATTTTAACAAGACTGCCACATTAATGATTTTCATATAAACTTTCAAACTCTTTTTCGCTTACAACCATATCACACTGAAACACCAGTTCTCCCTTGATCACCAGTTAAGCAATGTCAAGCCTGGTGAGTACGTAGATGGATGACCACCTGGGAATACCAGATGCTGTAAGCTTGGATGTGTAGGTGGTGGAATGGATAATGACTGAATTGGAACTTGGAGAGCCAAGTTCCAATTCTAGTCAGGTTTGCACAAATATGCTTGCGAAATCTATGAATCCCTTTTCTTCCTCCTGTTATGGGTTAATTATTAAAAACTGTATCAGAAAATTATTACCTCCAAAAATATTTTCTGGCTTTAAATAACCAGCAAAAGTTTGATTAAAAAAAAAAAAAAAAAAAAATCAATCAAAATCCTGTTCAAACACAAAATTTAACATACTCACAAAGCTTTTAAATTTACAATTTGAAAACGTTTTTACTATATTCTTCAAAACTGTTAGTGTTCAATATCATGAACATTTTACCAGCTAATAAGTGTAAAAGATTGACTTATGTGGACAGAGGAGTCAACACTGCAAGGTGACAGTTTTAGGCTTCAATGTGATTGTCAGATTTTATTTGAAGATCGTATCGAAGCACAGTGTTGATTCCTATGCCCACACTGTATAAATCTAGAGCCAAGTCCCAATTCCAGTTAGGTTCATTATATTCACTTACATGCAAGTACCTTTGGGAAAAGTATTAATCTACCTATTACTATCCAGCTATGGGTTAATTAGTAGAACTTGTATCAGTAAATCATTATCTTCAAAAAATTCTTACAATATAAAAATATAACTAACTACAATAAATATAAAAATAACTGATATAGATGTATTTTCTTTTGTTTTTAATTATTTCACCCCAAGCAAGGCAGTAAAGCCACTAAGACACATGGAGTTACTGAGTGTTATAGAAATATGAGAAAAATATACTATTGAGGGCAATAAAAGAACAAGAATTAAGACAGAAGTCAGAAGAGTATTCCACAAGCAAAATGTGCAAGAAACTGTTAGCATAAAACATTTACATCAAGCCAATTCCTTTGTAAAATGATGAGATATAGTCACCAATCTAGTACTGCACTTAAATTCATAAAGTCTAGGGACCCTAGAGTAAAGTTCATCAGAACAATTACCATGAAAGCATTTATAGAAAAGGTAGAGGGAAGCAACATTACAGCAGTGGGAAGTGACCAAAGCTGAGATGCCAGGTCAGCATCAATGACATTGCAGATTCTTCTTTGGATATCATAAAGAATCTCAAATACAAAGCAGGAGCAGAAAGTCCAGATATGACAATATTCTAAGTATGGATGAATGGTAAACAAATATGTAAGATAGATTCTGGAGAGAAAAATTGTCTCAATCGACACAGTGAACCAACTTTCCTAACTGCAAGACTTAGTAATTAATTCATGTCAGCAGAAAATGTTAGTCCGAGAAGGCACAATGAGTCACTCTCCAGGAGACCAGCAATAGCTATGCTAATGGAAAGTAAAAAGGTGTGACACTATTTAGCTATGGTAATTGGCTAACTAATTAACCACAGAAATTAAAAACAGGAAAGACTTAAGGCGAGAAAGAGTTCTATCGAAAGATAGACTGAGTGACATTAAAAAGATTTTATTTTATTTACGAAGAAAGATACTTTTCACACAAGACATAAAATCCGTAAGGAAAAGCGAGATGATATGAGATTCTGTCAAAACTGATTAATGTCATAAGAGAGTGACGCACCAAGGGAAACAGAATTCAGAAAGAAAAACAAAGCCAACTGACACATGGCAGCCATAAAAAAAATTTTGTCTTGAGACCAGCACGGAGAGTAGATATTAGTTATCTTTCAGAGATATCATTTTAATTCCTGGGTTCAACGAAGGGAGCCATCTGGTGTGTGTTAGAATTCTGGCATGAGGAAGAAAATCATATTATTGCTTATTCAAACTGTTGACGTCAGACACATCATCGTCGAAAATGGGCATTTGGTGTTAAGAGGATTTTAAGGTATGAGAAAAATAAAGAGTTTGATTCTCAGGTAAAATACAGACCTCCCAGCTAAAAGTTGACTTAGCAGAAAAAATCACGTGTCGGGTTTTGACAGTGATTGATGAGTCGGTAGTGGATTTTGGGTGTCCCCAAAAGAAAGATGTGATAAGAATTATTTGGTAATTTGGGGTTTGTAAAAAAAATGTTTTGCCAAAGAAAAAAAAAAAAAAAAAAAAAGGATTTTGTAAACAAAATTCTGGATAATAGTTTTAAGAAGGCCAGTCTAGCCACACCCACACTGCTGAGAGATCATTGGTCAAGTGGTAGCATGGGTGATAGGCAGAGGTGAATGTATGAGAAAGACAGATAAGTTGTTAACACCCACTGAGGGGATTGGTATGAGATACCAATGTGAGAGAGGAAGAGTCTAGGAGGATAACTCTCCTCCAACTTTCCCTCACGGTCGAGAGAGAAACCCCCAAAATGGAAAGTGATTAATCTTCCAAAAATGGGAAGTAATTAATTTTTTTGGCCTAAGAACAAAGAGAATTCTTGCTGGGAATCGAGAATTATCGGGAACCCAAGCCATGTCAGGACCCACACCGGGTTTTGGTCGGTGCCCATATAAACGAACATCCCTAAG